TGGCCACCGGGCGGTTCGGTGGCGGTGACGTGGCGGGGGGGGCGGGCACCGGCCATGGCGGCGGCGGCGGCGGCGGCGGCGGCGATGGGTGCGGGCACCGGGCGGCACCGGGGGGGGCGACGGGAGACCCCCAGCACCCCCTGACCCCCTGACCCCTGCCCTTTGACCTCTGCCCCTCCAGGCCCAGCCCGGCGGCGGCGAGCGGGACGCGGGGCGGAGGAGACGGCGGCGGCGGCAGCGGAGGAGCCCCCGGTGCCTTGCGGGGACCCCCCCGGTGGGCGCCCCCGGGCCGTGCCCGGCGCCTGCTGGGCTTCGAGCCCGGGATTTGGCGAGCTGGGGGCGCCTCGTGCGGCTGCTGCATCGCCCCCGCGACCCCGCCGCCCTCGGGGCCTTCCGGGCGGCTTTCGGTGAGCGGCGACGCCGGGAGCGGGACCCCCCCCGGTGGGCCCCCCCCCCCCCTCCTGGTGGCTCACGGTGTCCCCGCCGTGCCCCCCAGGGCTGCTGATGGCGCTGGACGTGCCGCAGGAGCGGGGCTTGGCGCGGTTGGATCACCGGTACCTGGACGGGCTGGAGGTTTGCCGCTTCCCGCTGCTGCCCGGCCTGCGGCCGCTGCCGCTCGACTGGATGTACCTGGTGTACGGCGTCATGCTGCTGGGTACGGGGCACGGGGACGGGGATGGGGACAGGGGACATGGGGATGGGGACATGGGGACACGGGGACGGGGAGAGCAGGACGGGGGGACAGGAGCATAGGGCACGGGGACAGCAGGATGCGGGCATGGGGACAGGGACATGGGGACAGCAGGATGAGAGGACAGGGACACAGGGACATCAGAACATAGGGACACGGGGACGGGGACACAGGGGACAGGGACATGGGGACGGGACGGGACAGGGAGCATAGGGCACGGGGACAGCAGGACCGGGGCATGGGACACGGGGACAGCAGGACAGGGGAACATGGGGACAGCAGGAGGCAGGGACATCAGGATATGGGGCACAGCAGGACAAGGAGATGGGGACAGGGACAGCAGAGGCAGGTAGGGCACGGGGACAGGGACATGGGGACATCAGGAACATAGGGACATGGGGACAGAAGGGACAGGGCAGGGAGGCAGGGGCATGGGGCACGGGACAGGGACATCAGACATGGAGCAGGACACAGGGCAGCATGACAGGGACACGAGGACAGGGACATCGGAGACAGGGACATAGGGCATGGGGACACAGGGACATCGGGACATGGGGGACAGCAGGACGCAGGGACATGGGACAAAAGTGCATGGGGACGTGAGGGTGGGGACAGCAGGACAGGGGACGTGGAGGCAGGGGACAGAGGGGCCGGGGACATGGGGACATGGGGGGGATATAGGGACATGGGGGTGGGCACATCAGGACACAGGGACATGGGGACATCAGGATGTGGGGACATGGGGACATTGGGGGGGATACAGGGACACGGGGCTGGGTGCCTCAGGACATGGGGACGTGGATCGGGGTGGGATGGGGACAAGCACGGGGCACATGGGGGTGGATGGCCACCGTGCTGGGGACAGGGACATGGGGACACCGGGACACGGCGAGAGCTGGGCGGCACCGGGATGGGCACAGCGTTCATGAGGGCGGCCACCACGATGGGGGACAATGGGGACAGGGGGACAATGGGGCTGGGTGCCACAGGACCCCAGGGGAGCGTGCGCCGGGGCAGGATGGGGCCAGATGCTTTGGCTGCAAGGGGGATGGGCGGTGACGGGGGGTGACAGCGGGTGACAGGGGGGTGACAATGGGTGACAACAGGCGCGCTGGGCATCATGGTGGGGTTCTGCTACCGGCTGAGCACGCTGGCCTTCCTGGGGCCCTACTGGTACCTGCTGCTGCTGGACAAGACGACGTGGAACAACCACTCCTACCTCTACGGGCTGCTGGCCTTCCAGCTCGCCCTGGTGGGCGCCGACCGCTACTGGTGGGCACGGGGACACTTGGGGACACTTGGGGACACGGGGGGGGGGACAGGGGGATGCCGCCGGGTGGTGGGGGAAGGGGGAAAAGGGATGAAAGGGGTGGGGGTGCTGGGGGTAACGGGGTGGTCGGGGAGGGTGTGGGGTGGTGCGAGGGGGGTGGGGGTCACCTGGGGGTGGCACTGGTCTCGGTGTCCCCAGGGGGGTGGCACAAGCCCTGGTGTCACCTTGGGGACAGGGTCCCCTAACGGGTGACACAAAGTGCGGTGTCCCCATGGTTCCCTGTGGTTTGGGGTCCCCCCAGGGTGACACAAACCCCGGTGTCCCCGTGGTTCCCCATGGCTCAGGGTCCCCTAACGGGTGACACAAACCCCAAGTGTCCCCATGGCTCAGGGGACCCAAACAGCTGACCCAAACCCGGGTATCCCCATGGCTCGGGGTCCTCCCATGGTGACACAAGCCCCGGTGTCCCCGCTGGTGGTGTCCCCTGTCCCCCCCCCCCACAGGTCCATCGATGGCCTCCTGCGCCCGCAGAAGCGCAACGCCCACGTGCCGCTGTGGAACTACACCCTGCTGCGCGCCCAGGTGGGTGGGTGCCGGGGGGGGGGGGGACATATCTGACAGGGGGACATCCCTGTGCGTGTCACCTCCCCCCCAACATCCTCACCACCCCCCCCCGCAGATCTTCATCGTCTACTTCATCGCGGGGCTGAAGAAGCTGGACGCCGACTGGGTGGGTGGCTACTCCATGAGCTCCCTGGGGCGCCACTGGCTCTTCGCGCCCTTTCGGTGAGCGGGGGGCACCGGGGAGGGGGGGACTGAGGGGAGTTTGGGGTGACAACGGCGGTGACAATGACGTCCCGGCAGGCTGGTGCTGTCGGAGGAGATGACCAGCCTGCTGGTGGTGCACGGCGGGGGGCTGGCGCTCGACCTCTCCGCCGGCTTCTTGCTCTTCTTCGACGCCACGCGGCCGCTCGCCCTCGTCTTCGTCACCTACTTCCACTGCATGAACTCGCAGCTCTTCAGCATCGGTGAGGGGATGGATGGAGGGGGGGGGGCAGCACTCCGGGGACGGCCTGGGGGGGTCGGGGGGGTCCCTAATATTGCGTCCTGTCCCCCCCCAGGCATGTTCTCCTACACCATGCTGGCCAGCAGCGGGCTCTTCTGCGATGCCAGCTGGCCCCGGCGCCTCTGCGCCCGCTGCCCGCGGTGGCTTCGGGGGGGGCTGCCCAGCACCGAGCCCCCCCGGCGCAGCCCCGATTGTCATTATGGGGAAGGGGGTGCTGGGGGGGCGCAGGGGGGGCTTCGTCTCCGGCAGCACCTGGCGGCCGCCTTCACGCTGCTCTACGTGGCGGAGCAGCTCTTCCTGCCCTACTCCCACTTCATCACCCAGGTGGGGGCGATTTGGGGGGTTTTGGGGGGGTTTTGGTGAAGGGGGAGTGTTGGGGGAGACGTGGGGGGCGTTGCTTGGGGGCATGTGGGAGTGATGCTGGGAGTGGCAGGGGGTGTGGGGGTACTGGTGGGGGGAAGGGGGACGGTGCTGGGGGGGAATTAGGGGGACAGGGACACTGCTGGGGGGTGTGGGGACACTGGTTGGGGGCACAGGGGTATGGGGACAGTGGCTGGGGGGGATATAGGGCACAGGGACAGTGGGGGGGCACATAGGGGTATGGGGTCACTGCTGAGTGGCATGGGGGACACTGATGGGGGTCACATAAGGGTATGGGGACATTTCTTGGGGACACATAGGGGAAAGAGGGACACTGCTGGGGGGGGGCACTGTATGGGTATGGGGACACTGCTGGGGGTCACACACCGACCCCTTCTGCCACCCCCCCCCCCAGGGCTACAACAACTGGACCAACGGGCTGTACGGCTACTCGTGGGACATGATGGTGCACTCGCGCTTCCACCAGCACGTCAAGATCACGTACCGCGACGGGCTCACCGGGGAGGTGGGCTACCTCAAGCCGGGGGTGAGCGGCGGGGTCTGGGGGTAGGTAAAAGGGAAGGGTGGGGGGGGGCAGACAGTGATTTTTTTTTTGGGGGGGGTCCCCGAGAAGGTGTTCACGCAGAGCCGGCGCTGGAAGGACCACGCGGACATGCTGAAGCAGTACTCGACGTGCCTCAGCGCCATCCTGCCGCGCTACAACATCTCCCAGCCCCAGCTCTACTTCGACATCTGGGTCTCCATCAACGAGCGCTTCCAGCAGAGGTGGGAGCCGAGGATTTGGGGGGGGGTGTGGGGGACTTTTGGGGAGGCTCTGACAGCTGCCGTGCCTGCAGGCTGGTGGACCCGCGGGTGGACCTGGTGCGCGCCGAGTGGTCCCCGTGGCGCCGCACGCCCTGGCTGCTGCCGCTGCTGCTGGAGCTGTCGCCGTGGCGCGAGCGGCTGCAGGAGCTGGAGAGCAGCCTGGACGCACACACCGACGTCGTCTTCATCGCCGACTTCCCCGGTGAGGGCACGGGGAGCAGGGCGGGGTGGTCTTGAGCCCCCCTCCCCAAGCAGCTTAACCCAAACCTGGCGGGGCGCAGGCTTGCACTTGGAGAACTTCGTCAGCGAGGATTTGGGGAACACCAGCCTGCGGGTGCTGCGCGGAGAGGTGCTGGTGGAGCTGGTGGAGCAGCGCCGCAACCACAGCCTGCGGGAGGGCGAGGGGCTGCAGGTGAGTGGGGAGGGGGTCCGGGGGTGCTGGGGGGGCTGAAGGCCCCATGCCTGTGTCCCCCCCCCCCTTGGAAGGTGCCCCCTGGGGAGTACCACAAGGTGCACACGGTGTCTCCGGAGCCCTCCTGCTACATGTACACCTACGTCAACACCACGGCGCTGGCGCTGGAGAAGAACCTGACGCGGCTGCAGGAGCTGCGGAGAGCGGGTGCAGAACGGCACCGGTGAGCCCTGGCACCCCCAAAAAACCTGGGTGGGGAGCCCCCCAAATCCTCACAGACCCCAAAACTGAGCCCCACATCCCCCTAAACCAGGGCAGGGAGCCCCCCTGAATCCTCACAGACCCCAAAACTGAGCCCTGCATCCCACAACCTTGGGGTGGGGACCCCCTAAAACTCCACGTGCACCCCCAAACCGAGCCCCTCGCCCCCCGCAGAGACGGAGCCGCTGCCCCCCGAGCTGCGGCCCATCCTGGGGGAGCCGCTGGCGGCAGGGACCCCGAGCGACCCGGTGGTGGCCGCGTTCCTGCGGCGGCAGCGGCGCCTGGAGGAGCTGGGGCGGCGGCGGGAGGCCAGCCTGGGCCAGCGCCTCCACCGCTTCCTCCGCAAGAAATACTACCTCTTCCGGCGCAGGTGAGCCCCAAAATCAGGCTTTTTGGTGCTTTTTTTTTTGTGTCAACCCCCCCGGCTTGATTCTTTCTGCCCCCCGCAGCGCGCTGATGACCCTCATCTCCCTGCGCAACCTGGCGCTGGGCCGGCCGCCCCTGGAGCAGCTGGCGCAGGAGGTGGCCTTCGCCAACTGGCGTGGCGAGGAAGAGGAGGGGACGCGGCCCGAGGGCGAGGGGCAGGCGTCCCCCGAGCTCTGAGCGCCCCCAATAAAGTCTCCTTTTTTAAAACTCGCCCCCTTTTGCACGCTTTTTTCCATCCCCCCCCCCGCAGGCAGAGGCTGAGGCAGGGAGGTAGAACCTAGCAGTTTTATTGAGTCGGTTTTTCGTGTTCTTTTTTGGAATCGGTGAAATTGAAACAAATGTAATAAAACCTCCAGAAAAAATATGAAGAGAGGAAAAAAAAAAACAAAAAAAAAAAAAAAAAGAGAGAGAGAAAAAGAGAGAAAGCCCCCCCCCCAACCCACCCCCACCCCACTAAGGCAGGAGCTGGGGCGCGGGCCCCGGGGCGGGCAGGTAAACAAGCCGGCTTCTCTGTACCACACCGGCCAAATGCGCCGCGCTCCCGGGGGCAGCCACCCCAAGCTGCCTGCCCCCATCCATCTCCCCCAGCACGACCCAAACCCCCCCTTTTTCACCCCGTTTCGGAGGCCGTAGCGGCCTCCCCGGGGTGGGGGAAAGGCGGGGTCGGGGTGCAGGGGGGGCTTTCAGGAAAATCAAGAGCTGCCGTCTGAGCCCGGGGGCTTCTCTGTACTCACGCCCCACGCCTCAGCACACAATAAATACACCACTAGAAAAACGTTCAAGTATGAAGGGCCTATTTCCTCCCCCACCCCCAAAAAAAGCTCGGCCGAGCCCCCCCAGCGCAGAGCTCGGGCGGGAGGAGGGGGTTGTGCAGTTGTGGGTTCAACTTCAGCTTTCTTATAAAGAAAAGGAAAAAGGAAAAAAAGGAAAGAAAGACAAAATTTCCTCTGGTACCAAACCCGCACGTGGGACGGGGGTGGGCTCGGCTTTAACGCCTGTCCTGTCCCCCCCCCCCCCCAGCCCCGTGTCACGTACGTCCTCCGAGAGGGAAAGAGAGAAAGAGGTGGGAGCAGAGAGGTTAAAATCCGGTTAAGAACAAAACCAGCACCAGCGAGGTCCCAGCGGGACTGGGGGGCGCGGGGAAGCCCCCGTGGGACAGCGAGAGTTTGGGGGGCACCGTCTCGGAGCTCAGACGTCACGAGATTAAAAAGAAGCCAAAGGAGGGGGGGGGCACGGCTGGCCGTGGGGCGGGCAGGGGGCTCGCCCCCGCTGGGCCGGGGGGGGCCCAGGGAGAGGCACGAGGCCGCGTGTGGTCCCCACGCAACTGAAATCCTGGCGACAGACAGCGGTGGGCGAGAGCAGAGGGAGGACAGGAGAGCTGAGGGCAGAGGAGCTCTTTCCCCCAGAGCCTGAAAGCTTCTCTGTAGCCTACGCCAACAGGAGTGGGGAAAAAAGCCTAACACTTATTTTTTTTTTAGTACTTTAGCTTTTTGGGAACTTCCCAGGGGAAACTGTCCCTACCAAAGTGGCCATAGGCTGCAGTCCTCTGATAAATGGGCTTCTTCAGATCCAGATCCCTGGAATATACAAGTCCCGCGCTCAGTCAGAGGTCCAGGCACCGCCACGCTCACACCTCCCTGCCTGCGGGGCCGGGCGCCGCCTGCCCTGTCCTGCTCCCCCTGCCCCGGGGCGGTTGCAGCTTCCCCCGGCCGCCCCCAACAAGGCGGAGAAGCTGCAAGCGCGCGGCGCTCAGCAGGCCGCCGGATACTTACCCCTCAGCAGCACCCGGTCCGCCCGAAAAAGCACTTATCCTCCGGCTGAGGCGGCTCGTGTCCCAGCCCAAAGGCTGCTCCTGGCCCTTTACCTCGGCCGTTTTCCAGGTGCGGAAGAGGCGGCGCCGACGGCACGAGGCGGTGCCCGCGAGGCGGCCGGCTCCAATTCTGCTCGGGCACCCGCGGCCGCGCCGCTCGGAGCCGCTCTCGGAGGGGACCGCGCGCGCTCGGTGTAACGCCACCCGCCCCGCTGCCCCCCCCTCCTCGCCCACCCTGCAGTGCCCGCTGCCCGCGCGTTACCTGACGATCACCCCGGGGCGGAGGTCGAAGTTCTTCTTGACGATCTCCAGCAGCTCCCGCTCGCTCTTCTGGGACGTGCCGTAGTGGAAGATGGAGATGGAGAGCGGGTGGGACACGCCGATGGCGTAGGAGACCTGAGGGGGGGGGACAAAAGGACGGGAATCAAGGCCCGGGCAGCACCAGGAGCCTTTTCCCAGGGCACGGGGCTGTGGATGGCACCCACCTGCACCAGCACCCTGCGGCACAGCCCGGCCTTGATCAGGGACTTGGCCACCCAGCGCGCGGCGTAGGCGGCCGAGCGATCCACCTTGGTGTAGTCCTTCCCGGAGAAGGCGCCGCCGCCGTGGGCCCCCCAGCCCCCGTAGGTGTCCACGATGATCTTGCGGCCGGTGAGGCCGGCGTCACCCTGCGGGGAAGAGCGGCGTCACCGGCACGGCACCGCGATGGCGTGGGGCGAGGTGACCCCCCCCAGGGACGCCGCCGTACCTGGGGGCCGCCGATGACGAAGCGGCCGCTGGGCTGCAGGTGGTAGATGGTGTCGTCGTCCAGGTACTTGGCCGGCACCACGGCCTTGATCACCTTCTCCTTCAGGGCGTCGCGCATCTCAGTCCAGGCACACCTCCTCGTCGTGCTGCACCGAGATGACGATGGTGTGCACGCGGATGGGGATGACAGGCGCCGCGGTCCTGCATGTACTGAACCGTCACCTGCCACGAGACGCCGGAAGCCTCAGGGGATGCAGAGCGGCCCCAAAGGTCCCCCAGAGAGGCAGCTCCACGGGGCCGGCCGCAGCGGGGCCGTCGTAGGGCCCTGACCTGCGTCTTGGAGTCGGGGCGCAGCCAGGGCAGGGTGCCGTTGCGCCGCAGCTCGGCCAGCTTGGCGTTCAGCTTGTGGGCCAGCACGATGGTGAGGGGCATGCACTCCTCCGTCTCGTCCGTGGCGTACCCGAACATCAGCCCCTGCGGGAGAGGCGTGCTCCAGCTCGGCGCCCCCGGCTCAGCGCGGGCGGCAGGGAGGCGGCCCCGAGCCTCACCTGGTCGCCGGCCCCAATGTCCTCCTCGCTGCGGTCCAGGTGGACGCCCTGAGCGATGTCCGGGGACTGCTGCTCCAGGGCCACCAGCACGTTGCACGTCTTGTAGTCGAAGCCTGAGGGGAGGGGGAAAAAAAAAAACGTTTGAGCGGGGCCGTTGGCACCGCCGGCTGCGAGGGAACATCCCCAGCACGCACCTTTGGAGGAGTCGTCGTAGCCGATGTGCCGGATCGTGTCCCGAACCACCTTCTGGTAGTCCACGGCAGCTCGGGAGGTGATCTCTCCTGCCAGCAGGATCATCCCGGTCTTTGCAACCGTTTCTGCGGGGAAAGGAAGAGGAAGGGAGGGGAGGGGAGGTCAGCCCCGGCCCTGCCCACCCCGCGCTGCCTCCCCGGGCGGGCACTGACTCACCGCAGGCCACCTTGGCGTCGGGGTCCTGCTTGAGGTGCGCGTCCAGCACGGCATCGCTGATCTGGTCGCAGATCTTATCTGGGGGGAAGGCACGGGGCCGTCAGCGCGGCGCGGCCCTTCCTGCCGCAGCTTCCACCACCCTAAGCTGGGCACGGGCCTCCCATTAAGCCGCTGAACACAGCGTTCTCCTTGTCCCCGCTGCGGGTTATTAGCGTGGAATTTCAGGCATTTGCCCATTAAACCCTCGGAGCTCGAGTTACATTTGGGTCAGGGCTTAGGTTCAGCCACCTACAGCACTGCCCAGAGGGAAATGGCACCGCTGGGCCAGGCAGCACCGCCCTGGCAGCCCTAATCCTGCCCCATGGGCTGCTCTCAATGGGTTCTCCGGTGCCTGCGGCTGCCCCCAGGTGTGCCCAGCGGCTGTCCAGCCCCCCCCCAGCACCCAGGATGCTTTATTTGGGGCTAGGAGCCCCCACTTTCCTTGCAGGGCGTCCCAAGGGCCCCACAGCAAGCAGGCAGCTTCACCGTCCTTGGCGGCGACCTTTCGGGGCGGATTTAGGAGAGGAGGAGAGGCCAGCGCCGCGCCGCAGCGGGGAGGGGGCTGCAGGAGGCTCCCCTCGCCCCTGCCCGGGGTGAAAGGGCAGCGGGCCGGACCTTCACCCGCGGGGCGATAAGGGGGGGGGGGGGGGCACGCGTGCCTCGCGCCCGCCTTGCTTCATCGCACCCGCTGCTGGCACGTGACGGCCCCGGCAGCTCCGGTGCGGGGCGAGTGAAGGAGCACGAGGGTGGCTGCGGGGGGGTGGGGGGGGGGGATGGAAAACGACGACAACAGGATTTGAGGGGGGGGGGGAGGGGGGGGCAGAGCTCCCGTGGTTGCTCCCGAGCATGTGCCCGAAAACGGAGAGCACAAAGGGAGGGCACCGGGGGGGGGCAGCCCGGGGGGATGCCGAAAGAGCGGGGTCGAGGCGGAATGAGGCTGGGGAGGGGGGGCACATCCCGGTGGGGGGGGATTGGGGGGGGCACATACCGGTGGGGGGGGGGGGGGGGCACACACCGGGGTCCGCCCGGTGCTCGGGGCAGCCCGGAAGCTGCTTAGTCACGGCGGTGACTCACGGCCGGGCCCCCCCGGGGCGGCGTCACCCCGGGGATGGGTACCGGGGGGGGGCACAAAACCTCCCCCCCCCCCCTTTTTTTTTTTTTCTCACCCCCCCCCCGCCCTCCCCACGCGGGAACCACGTGCGCGCCGGGCCCGCAATGCGGCGCGCGCCGCCCCGACACTGCGCGCGCGCCCGGTGGCGTCATCGCCTCCCCCCTCCCCTCCCCGAGCCGGGCGCGCGCGCGACCCCCCCCCCCCCCTTTTATCCTCCTCCTCTCCCCCTCCCCTCCCTGAAGCGGCCTCGCGCCTGCGCGCTGCCCGCCTCGGCCCGGCCCGGCCCGGCGCGGCGCGGCCCGCACCTGGGTGCCCCTCGCCCACGGACTCGGAGGTGAAGAGGAAGGTGCCCTCCTCGATGAACACCTCGTGGAAGCCGTTGAGCTGCCCGTTCATGGCGGCGGGGAGGCGGGCGGGCGGCGAGCAGAGCGCGGGGCGGTGCCGGCGGGCGGAGCGAGGGGAGCAGCAGCTGCGGCGGCCGCGGCGGACTGAGCAGGGCGCCCGCCGCCCCGCCTCTATTTATACCCTCCTCGCCCCGCCCCTCCCGGTGGCGCCGACCAATGGCGTGCGCAGCCCGCGCCGCGGGGCGGGGAGGCGGGACCACGAGGGGCGGGCGGGGGGGGGCGGGTTATGTAACGCCGAGCGCTGCCCCCGAGCGGTGCCGTTGCCCCGAGCAGCCCGCGGGGAGGCGAGCCGCTAGCTCGGTGTGTAACTAAACCGGGGCGCCCCTCCGTACCCTCCCCCCGCGGCGCGGCGGGCACCGAGCGGCTCCCCCCGGCGCGCTCCCCCCCCCCCGCGCGGCCTCATGGACCCGCCCGCTGTGCCCGGCGGCGGGAGGCGCGGGGGGCGCATGCGCAGAGCGCCGAAGGAGGGAAGCGGCGCGGGGCCGCGCATGCGCAGTGCGGCGGCGGCGGGCGGGCGGCGAGGACGGCCCCTCCCGGGCGCCGCCATCTTGCGCGCCTCAGGCGCCGCCATTGTGCGGCCCGCGGCGCCCCCCCGGCGCCCCCCTCCCCTCAGGGCCCCTCCGCCGCACCGGGGCCTCGCCCCCCGCCCTCCCGCCCCGCCCCCGCCCTTCCCCGGTTTCCCCCCCCCACTCCCTCCGCCCCAGGCCCGGCGCCTCCCGCCGCCGCCATCTTGTGCCGGGCCGCGGGGCCTGACGCAAGGGGCCGCGGGGGTTGCAGCGCTGGGGGCGGGGACAGGAGGGGGACAGACAGACAGCGGGAACCCCCCCCAGGACAGGCGGACACCGGGGCCGCCCGCTGCAGACAGACGGACGCCCCAAGTCCCAGGACAGATCCCGAGATAGGTGCACGGCCCCGAGCCACCTGCCCAGGACACACCCCGGCCACACAAACCTCGGAGCCTGCACGGCCAGGACAGACGGACAGCTCGGAGCACGTGCCTCGGACAGACGGACACCTCAAAGCCACATGTTTAGGACAGACAGACGCCCTGAACCCGCGTGTGTAGGATAAGCAGACACCCCCCAACCCGCATGTTTAGGGCGGACAGCCTGGACCTACGGCTGTAGGACAGACAGACAGACACCCTGAACCCACATGTTCAGGACAGACAGACACCACAACCTGTGTATTTAGGACAGACAGACACCCTGGAGCCCTTGTAGTTAGGGCAGATGGACACCCCAAACCTCATATTTAGGGCAGACTCCCTAAACCCACACACTTAGGACAGACAGACGCCCTGAACCCACACATTTAGGACAGACAGCCACCCCAGCCCCCTGAATTTAGGACAGACAGACACCCCAGGCCAGTTCTCGCCCCACCCCACCAGCTGCAGGGGCTGTGGGTGGAGCCCCTTTGCCCCCCCCCTATTTGCATAGGGGCAGGGCCGGCCCTATTTGCATTTGGGGTGGGAGCACACCACACCCAGACCTCCGCCCAGGGCCTGTGGGGGCCCCTGGAGGCCCCGGTGCCAGGGGAGGCCCCAGTGGAGGGGGCAAATTTGGGGGCACAGGGGTACTGGGGTGCCCAGGACCCAAAGTTTTGGGGTGCACAAGGGGCTGGGGGCTGCCAGCACCGTGGTTTTTGGGGTACGGGAGGCCCCAAGAGGAGGCCGGGAGCTTGGTGGATGTGAAGGCCATGTGGGGGGGAGGCCATAGCAATTTTTGGGGATGCTGCCCCTTTTTGGGACTTGACCCCACTGCCCCTTACCTCTGGGGATGCGGGGGGAGCCCCGGGTGGTTCCCGGCAGGACTTGGCCCCACGTCCCACTCCTCAGCGCCTTCCTCCAGCTGCGAGATAACGCTGTGGGGGTGCGGGGTTATCTCCTGCAGAAACAGCCCCACCTAAACCCCCCCTCCGGGCCCCCAACACCACAGGCCGACAGCGGGTTTTTGTAAAAAATGGTTTATCCGTTCCATTTTTGTATAAAACACACGGGAGAAACCTAGCCAATCAACACACGAATCGCTGCCACGTGACAAGGTAACTTTTTGTCAAAAAAAAAAAACAAAACTTGGAACCTAAAGACCATACAAATGTTTGCTCCTGTCCTACGGTCAATTGTCTATGCTCTGCCATCGAACTATGCCTTAAAAAAATTCCACATATCCCCGGCTTTCTTCTGTCCCGGTTACAGTACAACGACAGGGAGGACGCGGGCTGGGTTCGACTCCTTTACGCGGTTTTCTGCTGTCCCTTCTTCCCGATCAGAGACTTGTGGATGTGGGGGATGACGCCTGCGGGGAGAAGGAGGCGTCAGCGCTCCGCGGGCACCGCCACGTGCTCGGCTGCTGGGAATTCCAGCCTCCCTCCCGCCCTGCCAGAGATCTGCCAGCCTCAGCGCTGCTCCGGGCTGGAATCCGCAGTGACGGGCGACCTCGCTCGCTAATCAGGCTGAATTCCACCCAAAATCACCCTCCTGCCTCTCCGCGCGGCCCCACTCACCTCCCCCAGCGATGGTGGCTTTGATGAGGGAGTCCAGCTCTTCGTCGCCGCGGATGGCGAGCTGCAAGTGACGGGGAGTGATGCGCTTCACCTTCAGGTCCTTCGAAGCGTTGCCTGCCAGCTCCAGCACCTGGCGAGAGACCCGCGGCTGCCGTGAGCATCCTCCCCAAATTCCCTTTTTCCTTCCCCCCACAGCCTCCCCTTTTATAAACCCACCAGAAACCCAAGTGGCCTTCCCAACGCTAAAACCAACTGGACAAAAGAATCAATGGGGAATAAAACCAGAGCAAAACCCAAGAGTTTGGGGCCAGCCGCCTTCCTGGGCCGCTGCTCGCGCCACGCCTCACCTCGGCGGTGAGGTACTCGAGGATGGCGGCGCTGTACACGGCCGCGGTGGCTCCCACTCGCCCGTGGCTCGTAGTGCGGGTCTTCAAGTGCCTGTGGATGCGGCCCACCGGGAACTGCAGAGGAAGCAACGCAGACGGGGTGAGCACCTGGGCACCTCAGAGCCCCCCCATGCACTCGCTGCAGAGCCCCACAGCCCCCAAGCCATGCCCGCAGCCTTCAGGCCAGCCCCGGGACGGATCCTTCCCGCTGAGAGCCAGGAGCAACATTGCCCCTTCCCCTTTATTCCCCATGATTGTTTTGCTAAAACAAGGGGAACCAAAGAAGGCAGTGGCACCCCACCCCTCAGGAGCAGGAGGTTTTGTTACCTCCGCGATGTTTTACAGCCCGGGAAGGCGAGGCAGCCGCCCGTTACCTGCAGCCCGGCTCTCTGGGAGCGGGACACCGCCTTGGCCTTGGCCTTGCCGCTGTCCTTGCCAGCTTTACCTCCAGCCTGCGGAGACAGAGCCCTCGTTAGTCCTGCCCCTCCGACGAAGCCACCTCGGTTCTCGCCCCCCTACCCCCGTGATAATTTTTGGTGCTTGCTGCCAGGCCTGCTGCCTTCAGAGCAGCCCCAGGCGCGTTTCCGCTACAAGGCGAGCGGAATTTTTACGTTTCCTGTTCCCACTATTTCCATTATTTTCCAGAAGGCGGCAAACGGGGGAAAACCAGCGGAGAGCAGGAGGTGTCGTGCAGCAGCTGGGAGGAATCTGGGTGTGGGGTTGGCTCCTGCAGGCACCCAGCAGCTCCCCTTCTGAACGCCAGGATCCGTGGGGCAGCACCGCGGGTTTCCAGGGCGCTCCCTTTCCCTGCCACCAGCGTCCCGCAAAGCCCCGCGTGCAGCTCTGGGAGCCACAGGGGGGTGAGGAGGAAGCTGCCATGTGTAGGTGGCTCTCTCACATCCACCTAAAAGGGATCATGGGAGCGAGGCGCTAATTAAAGCCTGAAGTCATTAATTCTGACAGGAAGAGCCTGCTGGAGGCTGCGAGGGGTGCAGGAGAGGCAATTTTTACCTAAGGTGCGGGCAGGCCGGGCTGTCCTGACCCCGACACCATCCCAGTGCAAAGGGGATGGGAGCAGCCAGCCAGCAGCCGCCCCTCCTGCTCTGCCAGCAGCAGCCACAGGATCTGGAGCTCCCCAGGAGACGAAGGCACCGCCAGCTGAGCTAATCCCCAGAGCAAGGCGCTGCCTCACCGCGGGAAAGGCTTCGCTGTGCAGCACACCCAAGGCCCGTGTCCCTGCGCAGCACGGACAGTGTCCGAGCAGCTCCTTTAGGCCCCGAGCTGCACGGGAAGGTGTCGAAGCTGGAAGCGGAGCGGTGCTGGGTGAGGTGACGGAGCTGGGGCCAGCTTCCTGCAGTGTGAAGCACGAGGGTGGCACGCGGGGAAGGCTGGCACCTGGGAAGAGCGCGGCTCTTCGGCAGCCGGCACCTCAACAGGGGGGATTGGCTGGCCCCAGTTCCTTTGGGACAGCAGTGAGGGTGAGATCCCTTACACCCAGGGAGCTCGGGGAGACCCGTGAGAAGCTTTGTGAGGCGCCACACTTGAGGATCCCCGAGCAGGAAGCGGAGCTCCTCGCGTCGGTGCAAAGCCTCCAAGTTCAGGGCCAAAGAGTCAGGGAGGGCTATTTGCAGCCGGGCTTCTCTTTCCTGGCGAGGCAGCTTTGGCACAGAGCACTGGGTGCTCGCACCACGAGCTGTTATTGGCCAGCTTTGTGACTTCCCTCTCGGGTCCCCCAGCTGGCAGCTTCCTGCTCGCTCCATATTCGAGCAAAGAGGAAGGGGTCAGACACCAGGGGCCGGGAGTCCCGAGCTGTCCCCATCCCGGGAAGGAGAAGCCCCTCACCGCAGCTCGTCCCAGCCTTCCTCCTCAGCCCGGGGATTTCTTCCTCCGCTTGGGAAGCGAGGCTGGGAGAGGCTGGCAGGTTAAGCTGCCCGGCACGCACTGACCAAAAACTCCCAGGAATTAACAGCTGTGGTGCATTCAGTTCTCACTCAAGTCTCTCACCCCACACAAACCTGGTTTTCCACCCCCAAGAGAAAGCTGTGTGGCCAGAGGCCGAGCTGTCAGCCCCTACCCATCCGGGGACAACACGCTGGCCATCGACATCCCTGAACCCTGGTGTTTTCCTGAGGCAAAGCTCTGCAGCAGGCTGCAGCACTCATAACCCAGCACAGGAGCAAGGCAGAGAAACGCAGTTCTGCTAGTTTACTAGCAGAGAACCAGTTTAATTAAATCTCTCACCACTGCCTTTCCCTCCAGAGGAGTCAGGGCCTGTTCAATCCAGGCCCAGCCCTGGCCCCAGCGAGCAGGGTGCACAGGTCCCTGTCACCATGAGGAGCTGCTTGCTGGGAGCCCCCGCACACCTCGCTCTGTTTCCGAGGCAGCAGCGAGCTGCTTCCATCACTTCTACAAACGCGTGCCTCCACATTTGCGTTTTCAAGGAGAAAAACAAACTTTGGCAGCTGTTTACTGGCAATATTTACTGACAGCACCGGGGGGGGGGACACCCGGCCCCGCAGCTCTCCCTGCTGACACCACAGTGAGCTGCTCTCAGAGCGCGTTCCCCTACCCAAACTTGCTAAAAAAACAACAACAAGTTTTTCATCTACAGCCGCCAGTTCCAGGGCGCCCAGCAACGCAGCGAGGCGAAGGTTGCATAATTTCACCCGGCACTTCCACCTCAGCCAGCGCAGGCTCCTCCTAGCCTAAGCCGCTCGCTCCAAGTTACAGACCCCGGCACCGCGAGGAGAAAAGGGAGGAAAAAAAAAAAACAAACGCGGCGACCTCCAGCCCGGAGCTGCCACCCCTGCGTGTGCTCCGGGAAGAGACAAAATCAGAAAATTCGGCTGTAAACCCGGCAGCACGGCCCCGCGGGGTGTAAACAAGCACCGGGAGCGGCGCAAGCGGGGCCTGCCCCCCAAGTTCCGGGTGCCGCAGGGGGTCAGACCCCCGGTTCCTTCCCCAAATCCCCCCCTCAGGAAGCCCCCGCGGAGGACGAAGGAGCCCAAGGCCCGGCAACCACCGGGGGCGGCAGCGGCCGGGGCCGCGCGGGTCTCCCCCCGGTGTGACGCAGCCCGGGAGCACCGCGCGGGGCCTCTTCACGGGGCCGCGGCGGGCAGGGAGCGGCCAGGAGCCCGTCACGGGACCGCGGGGCAGGCCGCTGCCGGGCCGGTGTCCCCGCGACTCCAACCGGGAGCGGACCGGGGGGGTGCGAGCGGCAGCGGGGGCGGGGCCCTGAGGCCGCGACAGAGCCCGGGGCCTCCTGACAGGGCCTGGCCCCCCCCCACAGGGCCCGGCCCCGCCGCCGGTCCCCCTGCGGCTCCTCCCCGGTCCCCCCCCGCCACCCCCGGTCCCACCGGGCCCCCCCCGGAGCCTCCCCGGGTCCCTCCGGAGGGGGCCGAGCCCGGCGGCCGCCGCCGCCCCTCACCATGGTGCCGCCGCCCGAGTCCGCGCTGGAGCCGCCTCAGGAGCCGCCAGACAATGACCCGCCCGAGCGCGACGCCCGCCGCCGAGACCCCGCAGCCAATCACGGCGCGCCGTGCTTATTTGAACGGCCCGCTCGGACCAATCGGCGAGCGGCTTCTTGCTACCCCCCCCTCTCTCCAGCTCCCTCCGCTGGCCCCGCCCCTCGGCCCGTTTAACGGCCGGTGGGGTTTTTTTTTTTTGGCTTTGCACACGGCACGCAGGGCCGAGGGGAGGGGGCGGCGAGGATGAGTGACGCGGCGGAGAGCCAATAGAAAGAGAGGATAGCGCTGAGGGAGGCGGGGTTGAGAAGATAGACAGGCGGAGGAGCCAATGGGAGGCGAGAAGAGGCTTTCCCGCCCATTCTCTCTCCCCGCCCCCCGGGTTGTTTGTTTGTGAGGCGAGGGGGGGAGGGGGCGGCTGCGGGGCCCTGAGGGGAACCGGGGCCGGGAACCGAGCACCGGGGGCGGCCTCGGGAGGGCTCCCGGTTGTGATTCAGGCCCCGAGGCCGTCGTCTGTCCGCCCGCCCGTCCCCCTGAGGGGCCCCAGCGCCGCCCCCCTGAGGAGCTGAGGAGAGGCCGCGGCTCCCAGCCCGGCCTGAGGGGAATTCACCCCCGGGACGCCGAGGGGGCGCCCTTGTGTGGTGGTTTTTTATTATTTTCGCAGGAAATTCCCCCAATAAAGGCCGCTGATGCCCTAAAGGGGAGCGCGGAGGGGCTGAGGTGGCCCCGGTCCCCCCCCTCGGTGCAGGTTTCGGTTTGGGGCCGGGGGGCTGAGGGGCAGCTTTTCGCCCAGGGGCTCGGGGGGGAAGGCTGCAGGTAACGGCCAAGCCCCGGGCACACACTGAGAGGCGGGGAGGGGAATTTTGGGGGGGAAATTTGGATTTTAGTGAGCAGGGATTGGGACAGAAGCCATGGGAGCTGCGTTGGGAGCACAGCGCGAGGCCCTTTTGCAGAGGAGCTCTGCGTCGGGCCGGCTGTGGCTGTGAATTCTACAAAGGAGGAAAAAAAATGGAAAAGAGATGGAAAAAAGAAAAATTGAAAGAGATGAAAAAAAAATAATAAAAAATCATGGAAGGAGTTGCGGAGCCGAACCTGCCCTCACAACAGGGGGCGCCCCGGCTGCTGCCTCAGGATGCGTGGGACGGACACTGCCAGGGAGGAGGCGCTGGAGGAGAGGTAGGGCAGTGTGGGCTGGGGGGGAGGAGGAGGAGGAGAGGCCCCCTGCTGCCTCATTTCCCCACCACCCCCCCCAGCACCAAGCACCGTGCCTATTAATGCACCCACAGCATTTTGGGGCTGTGGGGGGGGGGGCTCAGCAGTGGATCTGCCCCCCCCCAACCCCACTGCCTGCACCTGCCCCGCAGGCAACAACTGCCACTGGCGCCTGCAGCCCCGCAGCTGTCCTGGGGGCTCATTGCAGCCCCCCTCAGCCCCCCTCAGCCTTCCCCCGGCCCCCACCGCAGCAGCTGGCACCCGGGGGGAGCGCCACCGCTTCGTTTTTCCGAGGCAGCAGCACGGATCCAGCTCTGGGGATGGGGTCACGCCAGGTCCCCGAGCCCAGGGGCTGCGTGCGGTGGTGGCGGCGGCGGCGACGGACCACGGCTCGCAGTGCGCAGGCGGCTGCCGCCCGTGTCCTCAGATGAGCCCGCGCCCGCAGGGAGCCGCAGAGCTAAATGCGGCGCGGGCTGCGGCGCCTGCGTCACCGCGTGCGGGCCTGGCGTGGGCTGCAGCGCTGCTTGGGGGGGGGGGTGAAAACAGGGGGGGGAACACGGCCGTGGGCACCCGCACGTGCCACACGTATGCACCGAGCTTTGCACCAAAGCCTTGCTGCCCTCCCCCTCCCTCGACGGGGGCGATTTCTCGCACTTGCGCCCGCCAGCTGCACGCGATGCCCCCCCCCGCAGCCCACCCCAGCTGTCCCCACAGCCTCAGGGGGCCCCCCCACAAGGGGCTGCGCTGCCCCCAGAGCCCAACTGGGGGACGAGGTGGCCCTCGAGGTGCTTCCCCCAGCACCAGGGACCCCACAGCAATTCGGGGGGGACCCCACAGCAATCGGAAGCCCCCCACACCGACCCCCAACCCCCTCAAAAAAAAAAAAAAAAAAAAGAGCGAGACCGGGGCCGGGTGGGTTTTTCATTCACTTTTCCGCATACTTTTTTATTTGTTACAAACATACAATTCTTTAAATATAGACTGTAAAACTCCATTTGCAAAAATCTGCTACGGTAAGGAGTGCTCGCTAGCATGAGGAGTTCGTCACGTCGGGCGTCATCTTTGCTAGTGGTAAATCCAGGACCTGCCTTCGGCAACCGCCGGCCGCTCCCCGGCGCCTCCCGAAGCCGCCCCGCCGGCCGCAGAGGAAGGGAATGAGAATCGGCCCCGCTGCCGTGGGAGAGGGGGACGGGGCCCCTCCGGGCGCCGGCAGCCCCCGCGCTGGGCCGCGTAAAGTGCATGGTTTGCTTTTATTTTTTTTTTTCTTTCATTAAAAAAATAAGAGGAATAAAACTTTCTTCTTTTCGTCAAGGTACTTCGGGGTGAACGTTTTGGGCTCTCAGCAGATATTGCGGAAGCCAGGCCCGGCCCTGGCGCCTCTCTTTTTTTCTCTCTCTCAGCCTCCAGCTCTCGCCGAGGCTCTGCCTCGCCCCGCGCCGATGTTTCACCTCCTCAGCTCTGCCCCGGGCGCGGGATGACCGCGTGCCGGGGCCGAGAGCGCTCCCCGTGCAGGACAGACCCGCGGTCGTCCCTTCTGGTGGCCTCGTGCCTCCCGGCGCATTTTTGAGGCCGGTAACGCGGCCTCGAGCCTCGCGGCCACCAGCAGCACCGCCAGCTCCCCGAAACCGCGCTGCCCCGGGCGCGGGGGGAGCTCGGCGGGGGCCGCGAGCCCACCGCCCTCTGTCACCCTCTGTCCCGGCTCTCCGCTCCCGTCCGTCCGAGCGGGTGCCTTCCCGAGCGCCGCTCCCCAGCAGCTGGGAAGCCGGACGGGAGCTTCCAGCAACACAAACCCCGAGCACATCCAGCTCCGGGAGGAGGAGGAGGGAGCCTTCCTCCCGCCGCCTCGTCCTCGCGGCACGCCTGGCGCTCCCGTTGGAACCCCGCATGGGAAACCGCTCCCGGCCCCGCGGCGCGAGCCGAGGCCGCGCTCCTCGGGCGAATATCTGCTGAGAGATTCCTTTGTGCATCTGAAGTACCGTCATCACTCGCTCACGGTTCTTTTTTTTTTTTCTTTTTTCTTTTTTTTTTTCTTTTCTTTTCTAAAAGAAGTTGGCGAGGCTTTCGCCAACCAGAGGAACCGCCCCTCTCCGGAGAGCTCCGTCCTCGCGAGTCGTCCCGCGGGCCGCTCGGCGTGGGGACGGCGGCCACCGGCCTCGTGCTCCCGGCCAGGAGCACGGCAGGGACGCTGCGTGGTTTTTCCTTTTCTCTCAGGAGGGAGCGGGGAAATTGAAGCAGTTTTGACTGTAGTGGAGCCGCGGGGTTGGGTTTGTTTTGTTTTTTTTTTGGGGGTGATCCCCGCGGGGACCCCTCTGCGGCCGCCTCGGGCTCCGGGCGATCGGCCCAGACGTCTCGGGTATTTACACGAAGTTTTTTTTGGGGTGCTATACAAGATTTACATTGCCTTTTGTACAGCAGATGCTCTGATAGAGTTGCGCTCTCAAACCGTCCCTTCTGGGGCAACAGAAATCTGGAAGCTCCAACCATTTGGGATTTCCCCCTTCCGGCATAAAACATTAAAATAAAACACAAACAACATTTTGCCCGTTTTCTACCGAATCCAAACCGAAAAAAGAAACAACCCCCAGCCTCCTGCGCGCACCCCTCCAGGTGCACACATCGCACAGCCACCGGCCGACCCGCCCGCCACGGGGGTGATTTTGGGATTGAGCTCCCGGAGCACGAAGCGACCGCCGAAGCCCAAAACGAGGAGCGTCTCCTCGCCCGCCCACCTCTCCGAAAATCGCTCTCGCCGGCCGCTGGCAGGGTTATAAAAATAAAAATAAAAAAAAACCTTATTTCTGTTAATAATTTTGTTTTTTCCTTTTTTTTTTTTTTTTTTTGCTGCGAGATTTCTTCCCCCGACGCGCTCTGCTCTTCTCACCTGTGTGCTGGAAGGTCAAATGGAGCTGCGGAAGGTTTCTGTACATAGATACATCGCTGGGCCGGCCTGGCGCCGGTGGGAGAAAGGTTTCTGGTTGCCAAAGCGAACGCCGTCTGCGGCAGTGGGTTGGACATTTTTTTTTTTTTTTGGCGGACGTGATCTTTGCCTCTTTGCCTCTTCCACGGGTTTTCCTAGGCAGCTATCGACAGCGTAGCCGGGCCCGCGAAGCCCACGCCGCTACCACAGAGTAGAAAGGTAAGGCTAGTTACTGCGATTTCAGCCAAAAAAAAAAAAAAAAGAAAAAAAAAGAAAAAAAAAAGAATATATATATTTATATATATATATATATAATCCTCTTCAAAAGGAGAGGTACCGCCTGCATCTTTGCAAGAACCGAACTGGCTCACAGCAGCTGAGCAACAGAAAGTCCATCACCACCGAAGCGAGGGGACGAGATGCTGGTCTGCGCGCGGAGCCGGCGTCCTGGGCGGCGAGCGGGGCCGGGGCTGGGGCCGCCTTCGTCCTCCTCCTCCTCCTCCTCGCCGCCGGCCCGCGGCGCTGCGTTCTCCGCGGCAAAGAACTGAACGCGTGTGAACAAAACACATCGGTAAATACAGCAGGACATTACTGGAAACAGCTGCCTTACAGTACAAAATACAGTACAAGTGTACGGATGTGATTCGGACATCGAGAAATACTATTGCTCCCGTTAGGATTTTAGGAAACCGAGTTCTTTGCGACGGAGAAGAATTAAAAAACGGGGGAAAACGGAAGGAAAAGGAAAAAAAAAATAATAAGTTCTCGTTAAAAATCCCTTAAAAAGACCTACGGACAACGGGAGGGCGGCGAGAGGCGGCGGCGGGCGGCTGCGTGGGGCCGTCCTCGTGGCTCGGGGTGGGGCACGGAGCCGGTGCCCCCCCGGCCGGCCGCGTGGGGAGTCGCTGTGGGGCCGTTCCTCGCCTTCCAATAAATACGGAGCGAACAGAGAGCGCGGAGAGGGGGACGCCAGCAGAAGGGTTCGCAACAATAAATTAACAAGGCAGCTCAGAGGGCAGGCATGCACAGTTTCCAAAAAGAGGAAAAAAAATAATAAAAAATCGTGAGAGGAAAAAAATTAAAAAGTCCTAGAGACTCTAGAAGGTGTCACACAATGATACCTGAAACTTTGGAATGAACAGCGGGCTCCCCATTCAGTTCAAAGTTACTAGGATAACGTGGCTAAAAAAATACCTTTCTGGAGGGGCAGGACTGACCCGATCAGCTAAAAAAAAAGACCATTTGAGAGTGAAAATCCATTTAATAACAGAGGTGATCGCTGAAAGGACCCCACTTTGATTCCGGAGCAGCTGGACGAGTTGTTGGCAGGAGCCAGTCTCTGGTGAAACGGCGAGGTGGTTAAAAAAAAAAAAAAAAAAAGAGAGAGAGAAAAAAGAGAAAAAAAATAAAAATCCAACGCCCCGGCCGCCGGGGTGCGCGGTCCCAGCGCTGGTCGGAGCTCCCACAGGTTGCGTCGCGCTAACGAGCCGGCCGGCGCCGGCCCCGCCGCTCGCACGGCGTGAGGTACTGAGGAAACGCATCGAGTTCGTGTTAAAAATCCGCGGGCGAAGACCAACGGGTTGGGTTTCTGCACCTGAGGTCGCCGGCGTCGCGCGGGCGCGTGCCCGCCGAGGCCTCCGAGTCCCGCGCGCGGCGCCGGGCGCTCCTCCTGGCCGCCGGGGCTCCCGGCCGAGCCAGGGCTTGGAAAAATTCATCCGACGGCGGCGGCCCCGCTCGCGGCCGCCCGGGGAATCCTGCCTGGCCTTCCCGCTGCCAACCCGGCGCTCGCTCGAGCCCACCTTATTTGGAGAGGAGGGGAAGATCTCCAGCGAGCAGCAGCCGATCCGTCGAGCTTGCCTTGTGCTTTGTGCCTGCTTTTTTCTCTAGCCTACCTCTCTTTGCAACCCCCATGTTAAAAAGAAGGGAAGGGGGGGGGGAAAAATAATAATAATCCAAAAAAAAATAATAATAAATCAGAACAGAAGTGTTCCTTTATCTTCAGAAACCTGCCAGCTTTGCACTAGCTCAGTTACGGGTTCCAGTTCAGGCGCCTGGAGTTTAGCAGTTCGCATCCCAGAAAACAAAACGATTCCGCAAAGGGGGGAGGAAAAAAAAAAAAAAAAGAAAAAAAAGAGGAAAAAAATAAGAGACAATGGACGTTGGTCCAGAGACGGCCCCCCCCGCATGGCATCTGGCTGCCGAAAGCTCGCCGGCTCCTTCGCTCCCCCCCAGCCGGCGTGCGGCGGCTCCCCGGGGGGTGCCGGGCTGCTGGTTTCGGTGGTGGCGGGGGGCACGACGCCGACACGGACAGAGGGGGTCGGGGCGGGACGGGAGAGGAGAGAGGATCCGGGCACCCCCGGCCCCAAAAAAGCGCGGAGTCCTCGGGCTGAAGCAGGCGGGGGGGGGGGGGGGAGGATGAAGGGAGGAAGGGGGGGGCCGGGCGCTCGCCCCCGGGGGCACGCCGGTGGCTCGTCCCGGTGGTGCGGAGGAGGGAGGGACGCGGTCGGTGGCTGCGGTCGGGCCGGTTTCTCTCTCCTCTCGCCGGTGGCGGAGCCGGGGGCCAGGGAGGGGGACTCGGAGGCGGGCTCGGGGCCCCCTTCTCCCCGTCGCGGCGAGGAGGGGAAGGGGGGTCCGGGGAAGGGCAGGGAGGGAAGAGGAGGGGGGAGGCCGGCGGGCGCTGGCGGCGGGGGGGCTCAGTCGTCGTCCACGTCGTCGCCGTCGGAGTCGTCGCCAGCGCCGCTGCCGCTGCCGGGACCGGGGGGCCCGGCGCGGCGGTCGTAGAGCTTGTCCCGCTGGCGCTCCTGGATGTCGCGCATCTCCTCGGCGTAGCGGCAGAAGGCGCCGCCGAACTTGGCCCAGGCCTTGTAGGGGACGGTGATGGCGTTGCGGTAGGACGGCTTCACCTCGCTCACCCGCAGGAAGACGCCGTACTTGTTGCAGCCCACGTCGAAGAAGAAGCGCTTGGAGTCCACGGTGATGGAGGTGCCCTCGGGCAGCTCCCCGTAGAGCCCCCCGCCGCCCGGCCCGCCGCCCCCGGGGCCGCCCAGCTCGTCCTCCTCGCCCCCGTAGTCGTCGATCAGCTTGGCCAGGGCGTCGCGGAACTCGATCAGCCCCTGGGCGGGCAGCGCGATGGTCTGCCCGCTCTGCAGCCCGGGGGGGCCGCCGGGGAAGCCTCCGGGCCCGCCGGGGCCGCGGTTGACGGTCTGGCGGATGCGGAGGAAGCGCCCGCGCTGGTTCTCCTTCAGGTCCAGGTAGTACTTGCGGTTCTCCCGCACCAGGAACTCGCTCTTCAGGGCCCGCCGCGGCCCGGGCCCGCTCCCCTCGTCGCCGCCGGGGCCGGCGGCCTGCGCCAGCTGCTCGGGGCTGGAGGGCCCCAGCTGCGCGTAGTGCTCGATGAAGTCGCCCAGGTAATCGCGGAACTCGGCGGCCACGGCCATGGAGAGCGTCAGGCGGCTCTTGGAGCCCCCCGCGCCCACCTCGGCGATCTTGAGGAAGCGGCCCCTTGGCGTTCTGCTTCACGTCCAGGTAGAAGCGCTTGTTCTGGATGTCCAGCCGCTTCGACGCCAGCTCCTGCGTCTCCTGCTCGGGGCCGGCCCCGCCGCCTCCTCCTCCGCCTCCTCCGCCTCCGCCGCCGGCCCCGCTCCCTCCTCCGCCGCCTCCCCGGGGCGCCGCGAAGCCTCCCCCGCCGCCCCCCCCTCCGCTGCCGCTGCCGCTGCCGCCGCGCTCGCTGCCGCTGTCGCCGTCCGCCATCTTGGCCGCCCGCCCCGCGCCCGCCCTTCCTTCCGCGCGCGCCGCCCGCCCCGCTTCCGGCGCGCGGCCCCGCCCCTCTGCGACAGGGGTGACGTCACCGCCGCACTCCCCCACGTGGGGCCATTGGGGGGGGGGGGGAGGCTCCGCCCGCCGCGTCCCCGCGCGCCCTCTGCCGCCCCGAGGCCACGCCCCCACAGCGCGAGGCCACGCCCACTGCCCCGCCCCCTAAGTGACGTCACCGCCCCGCTCGTCCCGCCCTCCTCCCCCCTGTCAATCACGCCCGGCGGCGGCTCCCATTGGAGGAGGCGGCGCCGCGCTGCGACAAAGCAACGTGACGTCAGCGGCGGCGCGCGTGACGTCACGGGCAGGGAGCACAGCGTCTGGGGGGAGCCTGGGAGCCCCTGGGCCTCCACCACCCGCACCCTCGGGGCCCAAACCCATGGCCTGGGGAGGGCCCCGCTCCCAGGGCCGGTGGCAGGGGGGGCACCGGGGCCATGGGGACCCCCCCTGGCAGCCCCCCCTGGTGAAATAACGGCTGCAGGGACACGTTCCTGGGAGTTTGGGGACAGGGACACGGCGCTGTCACCCCCCCACAACCCCAAATGTCACCTCTCCGGCAACCAGCACCCGAGGGTGCCCTCCCCGCCATCCCCCTCGCTGTGGGGGGCGTTCTGCAGTACCCCCAACACAAGGGGAGCATCCAAGGGTGAGCAACACCCCCTCAGTACCCCCACCCCACCGCCCCGCAGCGCCCTCCCCCACCGCACCCATGGGTGCTGCCCCCAACCCCCCCCCCCAGTACAAAACGGTCAGGGCCAGGTCTCCACACACAACTCGTTTTTATACGAGGGGGGAACACAAAACAACACAACGAGCGCCGCAGCGGCACGGCGCAGGCTCCGAAAACTCCAGATGGGTGCTGGGGGGGGGGGTCCTCAGGGTGCTGAGGCGGGTCCGGTGCGGCCCCCCCCGGGCCGGTCCCTCAGTGGGGCAGCTCGTGGGGGATCAGCTTGTAGTGGGCGCCGCAGGAGGGGCAGCGCTGAGCCTCCCCCTTGTGCAGCCAGAACCAGATGACGCAGCTGTTGTCCTCTTCACCTGGAGGGGGGGGGGGACAGAAAGCAGCTGGGACGGATGGACACAGGGACACAGGGACAGCTGACAAGGGCACGAGGAAAGGGGGGGGGGGCAAGGGGGTGAGGAAGGGGGGGGTGAGGAGGGGGGGGGTGCTTACAGACGCAGCCCACGATGCGCTTGTCAGCCGATGGAGGGCACGAGGTTGGGGTCCTCCTTGGTCCCCGCGTAGCGTTTGGGCCGGAACATGCTGTAGGGGTCCTGGGGGGGGGGGGGCACAAAGAGAGGGGAGGGGACAGAAAGAGGGGGGAGGGGCACAAAGGGTGAGCCCCCAGCCCTTGAGCCCCCCCCCCAGGCACTCCGCCCCCCTCCCCCACCCCTCCTCACGGTGCCCCCCCCGCTCTGATCCCTCCCCGGCGCACCCCCCCCGCTCCTTCCCCGTCCCCCCCCCCCCGGTCCCGGTCCCGCCCCGCCCCCCGCTCACCAGCCCCTTGTTCATGGCCTCCAGCACTTTCCGCTCCAGCCCCGTCGCCTGCTCCTGGTCGCTGGCGAGGCCTCCTGCGGGATGGGGGGCGCCGTCAGACCGGGAGCCCGCGGCCTCCCCCCCGCCCCCCTCCCGCACACCCGGTTCCCGTTCCCGGTTCCCGTTCCCGTTCCCTGCCCGGTTCCCGCCCCGTCCCCGCTCACCGGGCGCGGCGAGGTGCCGGACGGGCGCTGCGCGGGCGGTGGCGGCGGGCAGGAGGCGCAGGGCCGCGCTCACCCGCAGTAACCTTGAGGCCATGGCGGCGGCGACGGCGGCGGCACCCGGCACTTCCGGAGGCGGTGGCGGAAGCGGAAGCGGCGGCGCGGCGGAAGTGGCCGCAGGGCGGGAGTTGCCCGGGGCAACGAGCCCCGCCCTCAGTGCCCGGACACGCCCTGGAGCTCGAGGCCACGCCCCTAGCAACTGGCCACGCCCCCGTAGTGACGGGCCACGCCCCTAGCAACGGGGCCTGGCCTTAGCAACGGGCCCTGTACGGGGAGGGCGGCCATGGTGCTGCTTGAGGCCAGGCCCCATGGCGGTGGGGACGCGTCCCCAGGGCTCTGGGGACATCGTGGCCGCCCCACAACCATGGGGACAGGTCCCCATGACCCCAGTGACGTGGTGGCACGGTCCTGGTGCCGGACAGATGGACAGACACAGCCAAAGTTCCCACAAACACAATGTGCCTCAGTTTCCCCATAACTCAGTTCCCCCATAACCTCAGTGCCCCCCCATAACCTCAGTGCCCCCCCAGCACAGCCCAGGCCCGGTGCCAGCGGCCGCTCCCCACGCTGCTTACTCATCCCCATGGCTCCCCCATCAGGGCTCGTTAGCCCTCGCTGCGCTAATTGCGTGTTGGCAACTTGGCGCTTGCCAAGTTGGCTCCCCCCTCATCCTCGGGGGTCCCGTGGGGGCACGAAGCCCTGGCCCCGCGGCGGGGGCGGCTGCGCTTTGCCGAGCACGGGCTGCGCTCATCGCACCCGCTGGGAGCGGCGGTAATGGCTCGCCCTCGTTAATATTGCAGGCGGGGATCGATGGCTGCTGGCAGCCACCAGGCTGTGAGGGGGGGCTGTTAATTACCCTGCTGGGGGGTAATTACTGCCCGCCTCGGTCTGTTGGGGGGGGTGAAGGAACCTTTTATTGGAGTGTTTTTAATGGGACGGGGGGGTGTCAAGGCAAAGGGGACACCCATGGGTGATGTGTGGGGGGGAGACAGGCAGCACCCGTTTTGCCCCCCAGCTTTGTTTCGAAGGAAGAAAGGAGAAAGTATTGGAAAAATGAGAAAATACAGAAAGAAAAAAAAAGAAGAAGAGAGGAAATATTGGGAAAGAATAAAAAAAGAGAAAATATGGGGAAAAATAAAGAGAAAATATGGGAGAAAAGGTGGAAAGATGGACAAAACGAGAAGCTATTGGGAAAAAAAAAAAGAAATTGCTGGAAAAAAGGAAAAAGTATTGGAAATAGGGAGAAAACATGGAAAATAATGAGAAAGTGTTGGAAGGAAGAGAAAGCATTGGGGAAAAAGGGGAAGTTATTGGAAAAAGAACGAGGAAAAAAGGAGAAAGTAATGGATAAAAGGAGAAGCTATTGGGAAAAAAGGAGAAGATATTGGGAAAAAAATGAGAAACTATTGAGAGAATGATAAAATATTGGAAAATAATGAGTAATTACAGGAAAAAATAGGAATTACTGGGGAAAAAAAAGAGAAACTATTGGAAAAAATGAGACAGTATTGGGAAAAAAAGAGAAGCTATTGGAAAAAAAAAGGGGAAAGTATTGGGAAAAGGGGGAAACTATTAGAAAAAAATAGAAATTATTCGGGAAAAAAGGAGAAAGTATAGGAAAAAAGGAGAAAGTGTTGGGGAAAAGGGAGAAAGTATTGGAAAAAGCGAGAGACTGTTGGAAAAAAGGGCGAGCACCGTGTCCGAAGGCGTGGGTGCGTGCCAAGGGAGGAGGGCAGGGCCGGGGGGGGCGGAGGGCAGGGGACGGCCCCGCCGCAGCACCCGAAGGCGCCGCCGCTGCCGCCGCCACCCCGGGGTGCCCCCGGCCCAGCATGGCCATGCAGGGCATGGAGCTGTGCGCCGTGGCCGTGGTCATCCTCCTCTTCATCGCCGTCCTCAAGCAGTTCGGCATCCTGGAGCCCATCTCCGCCGAAGGTAACCCCCGGCCCCCTCCCCGGGCTGGGGTTGGACGCGGTTCGGTTTTGGGGTGCTCACGGTGGGGACGTGCCCCCGGGGATGCTCCTCGTGGAGGGGCTGCTGGTGGTGTGGGTGCCTCTCCCGGAACGTCCGTGGTGGACCCCGAAGGTTTTGGGGTGCCCTTCACCGCCACGTCACAGCCCCGTGGAGCACGCTGCGGCCCTGGTCTCCCCTTGAGCACCCCAAAATGGGCTGCTGGGGGGCTCTGAGCACACACCGCCCCCCAAAACTCTCCCAAATGGGGTGCTGGGGAGCTCTGAGCCCGTACTAACCTATAGCCCATGGGGCAGGGTGTTGGGGAAGCCCCCTCAGATTCCCAAGCCTGCCCAAGATGGGGTGCTGAGGACACCCCAAGCCCACCTCGACCCCTGAAACCCCCCAAGATGGCAGACTGGGGACCACCAAGCCTGTGGGGTCCCCTAAAATCCCCCTGAGATGGGGTGCTGAGGATCCCCAATCCCGCACTGACCCCTCAAACCCCTCCAAAACGTCTCTCTGAGGACTCCCAAGTCCGATCCCACCCCAGCCAGGAGGACGGGGGGCTCCACACAGCCCCTCTACACCCCAACCCCAGTCCGGCAGCCCAGTAACCCCCAGTGCAGTCCATTGGGGGTCCCCAGGGTGTCCCCCCCCAGTCTGGGGACACGCGGCACGGCCGGGGCTCTCCCCAACCCCATCCCACCTTCCCCATCCCAAAGTTCCTGCTGACTCCACTCAGCATCGAACGGCTCCGCGGGGGCTTCCCGGGCTGGAAACATTAACGAGGCATCATTTATTAATTACCTTCCGGCAGCACGGAGGGCGCAGAGAGCCGGGGAGGGGGGAGAGGGACATGAGAGGCAGACGCGGTGCGGGTGGGAGCCTGGGCACGGGATGCTCTGGGATGGTTTGGGATGCTCCGGTGTGGTTTGGGATGTTCTGGGATCTTCTGGGATGCCCGAGGATGCTCCGAGATGGTCTGGGACACGTGGGGATGCTCTGAGAAGCTCCAAGGTGCTTTGGGATGCCTGGGGAGGCTGCAGAATGCTTGGAGATGCTCCGGGATGCTCTGGGACACCTGGGGATGCTCCGGGATGCTTTGGGGTGCTCTGGGATCACGCTGCCGGAGTGGGCACAGCCCAGCAGCTCCTGGGAAGCCCTCCAAGCGCTGACGGAGCCGTTTCCTCACCCGGGTGGTGAAACCTGGAGCCAGCAGCCGACGGAGCCGCCCCGGGTGAGTTCCTCATCGCAATGGGGAGAGCTGCCGGGTTTTGCCAGGTTTGGGGGATTCCAGGTTTGTTCCCGAGCACAGCCAGGTCCAGGCGGGTAAGGTGCGGGGTGCCGCGATGCTCTCGCCATCACATCCCCTCCCTGGGGACCACAGGCGCTCACCCCCAAATCCGGGGGGGGCCCCGCTCAGCCCCGCACGTCCCCGCAGACAGCAGTGACGGCGACCTGGAGCTCTCGGCCGTACGGCACCAACCCGAGGGGCTGGAGCAGCTGCAGGCGCAGACCAAGTTCACCAAAAAGGAGCTGCAGTCCCTCTACCGCGGCTTCAAGAGCGTGAGTGCCCAGGGGAGGGTCTCGGGGAGCGGCCGCAGCCCCATGGGGCTCACCCGGTGCCCCCTTCTGCCCCCCCAGGAGTGCCCCAGCGGCCGGGTGGACGAGGAGACCTTCACGCTCATCTACGCGCAATTCTTCCCGCAGGGCGGTGAGTGGGGGCACCCCGGGGTGGCGTCACCCCCCCCAAAAAAAAAAATACGGGGTGCTCCCACACCCCCACTTCCCCTGTCTCCCCTCCGCAGACTGCCAGCGCCTACGCTCACTTCTTGTTCACCGCCTTCGACGCCGACGGCAGCGGGGCGCTCTGCTTCGAGGTGAGCAGTGGGGGGGCCACCAGTGCCACGGGGGGACGCCGGTGCCGCAGGGGGACAGTCGGTGCCACCACCCTCGGCAGTGCTGAGGTTGCTGGGCTTGATGTGAGTGTGCCCAGCAGCGTGATTCATCAGATAGGAGTCCCGGGGAGGTGCTGCGTGAGGAGGGCTTCTCGGGCAGGGACTCGGCGAGGCTTTGCACGGTCGGGATCAGCCGGTCCAAACGGTGGTGCCCCCCCCCCCCGAAAATCCGCAGCCCCGTCGCCGGCAGGTGCCGGGGGGCTGCGGGGAGCCTGCGGCAGCAGCTGGCGCATCCCAGGCGATTAAAAATAGATAGGAGCCAGAATAGCAGCGGGATCGATAGGAGAAGTCCCCGCGGTCGATGGCCGCGCTGCGGAGCCTTTTGTGGGGTCTGGAAGGGGGTCGCTGCGGGTGGGACGTGTCCCGGTGTGGGGACCGCTCACGGCCAGCTGTCCCTTGGGCAGGATTTCGTCGGCGGCCTCTCCGTTTTGCTGCGGGGGACGGTGCAGGAGAAACTGAACTGGGCTTTCAACCTCTACGACATTAATAAGGACGGCTTCATCACCAAGGAGGTGCCCCGGGGGATGAGGAGGGGCCGGCGGGGGTGGTGGCACCCACGGGGACGTCCAGAGAGGGACAAATCTGAGGGAGACGGGGCTGGGGGCTGGAAGTGGCCTCCTTGGGAAGGAGCATGGGGGGGGGGGGTTGGGGAGGTTTTTGTCACCCCGGCCCCGCTCTGTGCCCTCCCCAGGAGATGCTGGAGATCATGAAGTCCATCTACGACATGATGGGGCGCTGCACCCTGCCCGCCCTGAGGGACAGCGCACCCGCCGAGCACGTGGAGCTCTTCTTCCAGGTGAGCCCGGCCTCCCCCCCGGCACGCCGCCGATGGGGCAGGGACAGGGACGGGGATGGCCCCCGCTGAGCTCTTCCCTTGCAGAAGATGGACAGGAACGGGGACGGCGTGGTGACCTTCGAGGAGTTCCTGGAGACGTGCCAGCAGGTGGGGGGCACCTGGGGGGGGCTTCGGTGCCACCTCCTCCTCCTCACCCCCCGCCCTTGTCCCCTCCAAAGGGACGTCCCTATGGGTTTGGGGGGAGAGGAGGCTGCACCCTTTAGGTCTCGGGGGAGTGTGGGGGGTGGACACAAAAGTGCAAGTCCCAGCGGGGGGGCCTGGGGGCTGCGACCCGTCCCTCTCGCCCCTTGCAGGACGAGGACATCATGAGCTCCATGCAGATCTTCGAGAACACCATCTAGAGCCGCTGCCGTGGGGCGCAGGGGAGGATCAGGTTTGACCCCTTCAAGACACAACGCGAGGCTCCTAACGAACTGCTCAAGGTGCAAGAAACACTCAAAATAAGCAGGAAACGTTAAAAGTGAGAACGTTGCTGGCCTGTCCGCCTGAGCAGCCAGAGCCGCCCCCGTCAGCCACTTTTGGGGCAGAACTCCCCAAAGCAGGGTCTCCCTGCCCCAGGGGACGGCCAGGGGTGCAGAAGACCTCGTCACAGCAGCGGAACTGACACCTCGGGGATTTACAGAAAAAAAATAAAAGTGACTTTGGGGAGGGGGCGGCGGGGAGGGCCCCGGGGAGGGGATGGGGGCGAAAACCCCAAAATGTCCTGGTGAGGGCGGGAACCCTCTGCAACTCCACGCGGGCTGAGATGGTTTCCTTTTTTGTTTGATTTCTTTAAATAAACCAATGGGTGACCACTGAGGGACACCTCCACCACCACCAGGGGTGGCTCTCACATTGAGGCGAAGCCATTTTCCGGCTTTTTTCCCCCAAAAGCTGGGGCTGGCAAGTGGGCGCCTACACCGAGGCAGGGCTGGCTGGGAAGGGCGACAGGGGGGTCTCTGGGTGGGTGGGAAATCGACATTTTATTGGTGACGGCGGTGGTGGAGGAGGAGGAGGAGGTGGAGGACGAGGAGGAGGAGGAGGAAGGCCAAGCCCACCATGGAGCCTGGCTCCATCATGGCGCCCGGCCCCAGCACTGCGCATGCGCAGGGGGAGGGGGGGAGCAGAGGGAGCGGGCAAAGAGGCAGCTGCGCATGCGCACAGGGCGAAGCGAGCACAGGGAGGGGCGCGAAGCGGTGGCGCATGCGCAAAGCGAGCAGCGCGCACTCCCGCCCCCGGCACATGCGCACAGCCGCGCGGCTCGCTGGCCGCGCATGCGCACCGCCTCTCCCCGCCGCCGCCGCCGCCGCGCATGCGCAGAGCCCGCGGGGCCATGGCCGCCTCCGGCCGTTGCTGAGGCGCCGCCGCCGCCCGGCCGCCATGAGGAGGAGGCGGCGGCGGAGCGGCCATGGGCTCGCTGAGCAGCCGGGTGCTGAGGCGGCGGCGGGGCGGCGGCTCCTCCTCGTCCTCCTCCTCGTCGCCGGGGGCCGGGGACGGCGGCGGAGGGGGCCGAGGGGGGAAGAGGAAGCGCGGCGGGGCCGAGGGGGCCGGGGACAGCGACAGTGAGGGGGAGGCCGAGCGGGAGGAGCGGCTGCTCAACGCCCCCCGCAGGTCCGGGGGGGCTTGGGGGGCCTGGGGAGGTCCTGAGGGGCCTGGGGGTTGTTTGGGGGGGATCTGGGAGGTTCTGGGGTCTTTGAGGTGTTTTTTTGGGGTGTGGGGGAGGTTTGGGGAGGTTTTGAGGGTCTTTGGGGGAGGCTCTGGGGGTTCTGGGGCCTTTGAGGTGTTCTGGGGGGGTTCTGAGGGGTTCTAGGGGCTTTGGGGGTGTTGTGAGGTCCTTTGGGGGCATTCTGTGGGGACTGGGGAATTGTGGGGAGGTTCTGGGGCTTTTTTGGTGGGTTGGGGGGGCTTTTGGGGGGTGACAGAATTCGGGGGTGGGTTTTGTGGGGGATTTTGAGGCCTTTTAAAGCGGCCCCCTGGGGTCTCTTTGGAGGTTTTGGGGCGTTTGAGGGTTTTGGAGGGGTTCTGGGGGTATTTGGAGGGGGGTTCTGGGGCTTTTTTGGTGGGTTGGGGGGCTTTTTGGGGGCCCGAAGTTCAGGGGGACTTTTGGGGGGGACTCTAAGGCCTTTTAAAGGGGGTTCTGGGGCATTTGTGGGGAAGGTGGGAGGGCCTCAGGGCTTCTTGGAGGAGTCTGGGGCCCTTGGGGGGGCTCTGGGGGTGTTTTAAAGGGGGGGGGGTTCTCGGGGCCTTTTAAAGGTTTCCTTCTGGAGGCACTGGAGGTGGGGGGCACAGGGGCTGCTGCAGGGTTTGGGGCTGAGGGGCTGTGGTTGGGGGGCGCGTGGTTGGGACCCAGCGAGGACTGCGGGGAGGTGGTGCAAAAAGGGGGGGCAGTAGGGAAAAGGGTGGTGTGGGGCTTGTTGAGGAGCACCTGGGGGTAGGGGCAAACTGGGGTAGGGGCAAGCTTTTGGGGGAGAAAAAAGCCCAAACTGTGAAGCGCTCTGCTTAGTGTTTTTGTGTAATGGAAAGTCTTCAAGGAGCATGTTTCTGTCTGCTTTTCCGAGCAGGAAGAAGCTGAAAAGCACCTCCAAGTACATCTACCAGACGCTGTTCCTGAACGGCGAGAACAGTGACATCAAGATCTGCGCGCTGGGGGAGGAGTGGAACTTGCACAAGATTTATCTGTGTCAGGTGAGCTGCTGGCTGACAGCAAGGTACAATAAAGGCAGCTAATGAAACAATACCCAAATAACCCCCAAAATAATAGCAGTCCACACGGATGGAGGTTTTCCCGCACTTGTCTGTTTTCCTGTGTTTCCCCCTCCGCTCTGGTTTCGTGGTGGCTCCGAGCACTGTTTGTTGGGCTTTGGGGAGCAACCTCAGGGAGCGTGGCTGTGGCTCCGTGCCTGCAAACAGCTTCTTCAGCTCCCTTCTGCTGTTAGTTTTCGAACCTGTTTGCTTTAACCATGGCCTGGCCTTTGTGAAAACTGCTGGGAGTTGTCTCTTGACGTCCGGAGAACCTGTTCTCGTCTGTTAGGTGAGCAGCTGGGGGTCTCCCAGGAGGCTGCTGTCACTGCAGAGCAAGCAAAGCGCCTCCAGGAGGGGTTTGTTTGTAGAGCCCTCGCCTCGATTCGGCTTCCCTCGGGGAGGGACCCTACAGGAGTCTGACCTCGGGAGCAATTTATTTGGAGCCAGGAGAGGAAACAGCTCCAGGTGCTCTACCTGAAAATGTGTGTGCCTCTCTGCTAGCTGCAGCCAAACAGCACAGGGCTCTGACTTACGGAGGTGTCGGGGTGAGACACTCGGTGGCTGGGTGCAGTTTTCCTGGTGTCACAAATGACAGCAGGAGTGAATTCTGGCTTTTTTTTTTGCTTTTGTTAACCAAATGTGGTGCAGGTACAACAATTCCTTATGTCAGCCATGGTGGGAAAGTTCCATTGTGCTCTTGTAGGAGAAAGCCTTTAGTTTTGCACATGTTAGAGTGTTTTAAAGAGCATGAATGAGGGAGGAGAGCCCCAATCTCTGGATGGAAGAGAGGGTGTGCTTTGTCGGGCTGCACACAGCCCCGATTGCCAGCTCCCTTTTGATCTACAGCCGACGAAGGGAGGATGTGAGTGTGCTGAGCAGGCAGACTCAAACAGGATAGACACATGCTGGTTAGTCCTTTGATAGTTATGGGTGGTTTTAATTATTGTTGTGGTTCTGTTGGTGCTATAGCACAAATCCATGAAGCTGCTCCTCCAAACCTGGTGTGAGTGGCTGCTGGTGACGTTAAACCACGTCCTGGGTGCTTCTCCCAGGCTTTGAAAGCAGCAGTGTTGTTCTGCAGAGGCCTCCTGCGCACGAGGCTTCTGCAAGGAGGAACTTTGCGGTTAAGTTCCCATTCTTACAAGTTAGGTTTGTCTTGGAGTTGATGCTCTGTCACTGGGAAGTAGTTTTGGAGGTCAGAAACACCTCTGTAAATTACTCTTAATGAAGCTGTCTCCTCGTCTGCCTGGTTGAGCAGGCTGTCTCTGTCCGAGCGTCTCCCTGGTGTCTGGAGTTCCTGACTGGTAGAGCGAAGAAATGAAGGATTGCCTTTTCCTTATGCTGTTCACTAAAATGATAAACTCTTCCTAAAAGCGAGGAGCTGATCTTCGTGGCACAGCTGAGGTAGCCTCATGGCTGGCGAGGTGATCCTGGCTCTGAGCGTAGCGTGGTGTGTGCCGTCAGCGCTGCGGGGTGTGCTGAAGGTGTAGGAATATTTCCGTCTCCAGGTAAAACCGGGTATTTGCTCCTGCCCTGAGCTGAAGCTCTGAGTTACGAGGTCAGGGAATGTGGCACGGCACAAATAGACTTTATCTTTTTGATCTCTCAGGTAAACTTCAGGGAGTGATAGAGTCTCAGGATGCGCACATCTGCCGCTGAGGACAGTCATGAGCCCTAGTAGAGCAGTGTATTTCACTTCATTTGGACGGAAACCAATCAAATTCTAGTTTTTTATGCCTTGCGCTTTATCATAAAGGTATATTTCCATAAGTGGTGTATGTGTCTGTCCTTGGTACGAGATTACAGCCTTCTACATTAATTTGGATGTCTTGCATGCTATTTTTTTTTTTTTTTTTTGCTTTAATACCCAAACTGGTGTTCCCTGATGCCTGCAGGCTTTGTTGCCCACCGGTAACATTAAGGACTTAGTTCTTGGACTAATTATATCCCCATCGGTGCTGTGGTTTGTAGGAGAAATGCTTATGTGGCTTTTCTGGCCCTCTAAAGCTCTTTACTTTGATTGTAGCCGTGCGGTCCAATTTTTCTGGATGCGTTTTCACTTTCACAAATAAAGCAATTACACGTAGCCCTTTCTTGAGTGTGCCGGAATGTTTCAGCTTGTGAAATGTTCCCCTAATGCCTTTTGTTCGGCGTAGAGGGAAACGGGAACGGTTTGGGGTTCTGTGCTGCTGTGGGTGTTTTAATTTGAATGGAATCTCTTAGCTGAGGTCTGTGTCTCTTGTCTCCCCTCCTGTAGTCAGGCTACTTCTCCAGTATGTTCAGCGGATCCTGGAGAGAATCGAGCATGGACGTCATAGAGCTGGAGATTCCTGACCAGAATATTGATGTAGAAGGTAAGGGGGAGCCTTAATCTTCACCTGAAGGTAGCAGTTAGCTCGAATTTGACAAATAGAATGAAAATAAAACCCAGAAATTTAAAACTATCAGGAACTTGAGAGAGAGAGTGCGGTGCTCGTTTGGTTTTGAGCTGAATTCGGGTCACGGGTAGGGCTGAGCTCCCGTTGGTGCCTGCTGCTGAGGAGCTCGCCTCGGTGTTTGGGCAGCAGGGAGCTCTCGAGAACAAGCTACGTGACTTGTGGGAACCCCAGCAGTGGAGCACATCGCCTCCTCATCTGCCAGCTCCTGAAAAGCTCTCAAGTGGAGTGCTGGCAGGGGACAGAGGCAAGCTGACAAAATGTTTTCCTGCGCTTCCGAGCCCTGTGGAGTGAAGCAGCAGAGTTTTTTTCAGAAGAACTGCAGAAAAATGTTTAATGTGATAGGAGTATCTCTGCGTAACGCTGCTGATCGATTGCACGGAGGGATCGTGAGGTTTAGGTTCTTCTTATCTGGCTTTATTGCTCTCTGCATTGCTCTGTGACGTGACGTGGCAGCTATTTTGGGATGGATATTTTGTTGAGACAGTGAAATGAGCCGTATTTCATTAGTTAATGGTGTGTTTTGTGTGTACTGTGTGTGTGTGTGCTTGGCTGGTAAATATTAGCTTTTTAGCTAAAGAGCAAATAAGTATGGTTGTAGAGAGCGTGCACTCGAGTGCCGTGGTTGTATTTCAGGCTTCTTTCAGCTCTCCAGGTTCAACGTCCTGCGTTTGTCTGACAGCTG